TATCTATAAACATTATTTGAATTTACCTCTGTGAAAATAATTTTAATAAAAAATTGTTCATTATTTTAAAAAAGAATGTCGGAAAACTTCAACCCATGCCTGAATTACGTGAATTATAGCATCTTCTGACATTTCAGCGATAGTGATATTGTGTCTTGGAGAAAAACACATAACTTTGCATTCACCCTTAACACCTTCAGCCCTTAATAGGGACGATAATTTGTCTAAACAAAAAAATAATTAATTAATATTGTAAGCCATACAAAGTTAATTTTTTGGTTCTCATAACCCCGGCCGGGTGACTTTTTTAAAAAATTGAAATTAAAAATTTTTTTTTTTTTACTTATATAAAAAATTTTATGAGAACCAAAAAATTAACTTTGAATCAATTATTTTAAAATGGATTATTTTTTAACAAAGAACTAACCATCGGAATTATGCCGCAATTGGGGTTGATCAATATTTACGGCAGCAAAATCATTAGTGAAGATAAAAGTATTTTTATACTCGGGATTTCTGTTTCCTTTTGCACGTATATTCCCCGGGCACAGATAGCAGTTCGAATCATAACTAGGTATCGATTCATTGTCAACTGTTTCTTGTTGGCCTTGCCAAGGTCGCTTAGTTCGGTGTGGAGAGCATAAGACCCATGAATTGTTTAATGGGTTATGGCGACGATGTGGATGCTCGTTGAAATCAAATTCAAGAGACATTTACCTACTATATGAAAAGAAGTTTGACATCAATTCTTGTCATCATGCAGAATCGGGAGTAACACAAATCTAATTACCAAAAAAAGTGATCTTTCAAATTAACCAGGAACACGTGGATAGTAGGAAGTTTTATCACATGATAAAAGATTAGTTACCCTACCTTTCTTGATACATCGAGATGTTGTAATAAAGCCAAAGAAATCGCCTATAACTCAAAATTTTACTTATGAAACAATCCTTCACGTTCTAACAAAAAAAATATTCATTGCAAACTTTTGATATAAACTATGCCCTGCTCTGATCCTAATCTTTGGTTAACCCTGACCCTAACTTTAAAAAATAAAAGATGGCTACAAAATTTTATTGGTAAAGTTCGTTATAACCAAATTTAGTAATCAGGTATGATTGACACTGCCAACAAATATAATATATTAGTGGAAGCAACTTGTGATTTCGAAATAGTTCGGATAGAAGCTCCGATTTAAAGCTCCTTTTTGCATAATCCGAAATCCGAAATCGCCGAAAAAAAAATACGCCTCTAAAAATTTTTTTTTGTTCTTGATACATATACGTGTCAGATTACCTAGTGATGTGTAGATGTGTATATTCCGCACACATCATTACAATCACCTATCACATCAAAGACCTGTTAAGTTTCTCCCTTTTTAGAATATAAAAAGTTTTTCCAGTAGAGTTTTATCCTATTTTATGGATATTTGTTTACAATGAATGATGTAAGCACGTTTTTCAACTGTATTTTTAAGTATTAGTTGTGAGTGAG